CCCGGCTTTGGAGGAGGCAGATTCTCTTCCGCGCTCCAGAGAGACACAGGGAGAGCCGGCTCTGCCTCCGGAGAGAGGGAAGCCAAGGGCGTGAGCCCTGAGCCCGGCCTGCCCTTGGCACTGCCAGAGCCGGGAGGCCTTTTCTGGCGGCTTAGGGTGGCCCGTTGTGATGTGTGTTTGTGCGCTTTGCTCTTGAAGCTTGGGGCCGGTTCAGACCCTCCAGGAGCATGCTCTGCCCCCACCGGCACCCCTTCCTCTCCCACCGGCCTCCTACCCACAGCCCCTCCCGGGCAAAGGCGAGCCTCTGCCCGGCCAACCTTCCCCTTGGAGGGGGGGGCTCTTCCAGTGATCCTTGACGCTGCAGCCTTGTAGTTTCTCCTTGCCCCCCGCCTCCTCCCCAGGAAGCAGGAAGGCATCTGGCAACGGGCAGGAAGCCTGCTGCGGGGTGCCTCCCCCTCCCTCACTCCCTCCCCGAGCAGGGCAACCTGAGATGTCAGTCAGGGGGCTCCACAAAGCCTCCGGGAGGCAGCTGTCTCCAAGTTGCAGGAATGGGGGGGTGATTTATACATAACAGGCCAATAAATTACCTGCACGGGGCCTCGGGGAGCCATTCCTTACACCAGCCGCTGCCAGACCTTTCCAAGGATTGTTTCCAACAATTAGCTGAAGACGAGGCAAAGGCAAAGGGAGGGCGAAATCAATTTCCAAAGGAGTGTGGGGCTAAGCCCATTCCCCCCCACGCACTTCGCGTCTTCAGCTCACACTTTCGTTGGCTTTAAAATGGTCCTGCCACTTGTCACATGCCTACTGGTCATTCCTGCCAACTGGACTGTGTGGGTCAGACCTTCGGTGTGTGGGGGTCTTCCTCAGAACCCCTCCTCCAGGAGCGTTGCTGGTACACAGGATTCAGCCAGTCATCTGAAGCGGCCGCTTCTTTGGCCCGTCCCGAGATCAAGTAGTAGAGGTGCTGTCCGTCGGAGCCCGAACCTCGGGATGCTTGGCGGCCTTGGTGGCGTGGTGCCCAGTAATGTTGCCACACTGGCGTCTTTCCAGTCGGAGGAAGTCTGTCTCTCCTGCCCTCTGCCCAACTGATGGAGCCCTGCTTCACTTCGCTTTCTGGCTCCTTCACCCCACGAGGCTCCCCGCAAGCTACAATGAGCTCATAGCCAGAAGGTGGTATTCAAAGGTAGGCTGCTCCTAAGGAAGAAGCTTGATTTAAGCTTCTGTTATGGAAGATGGGTGACCAACTAGTGTTAGCAGATCAAGAAGACTAGGTGAACTTTGACCGTTGGAGTGAAAGAGGTTTTCCTCTGCACGTCCCCCACCCCCGCCCAATAATTGGGACTTTCTTGCAGTATTTCAGATGTGATAATGTTGAGTCTCTCCAGGTCAGGGAAGAGGGGCAGAGAAATACCCCTGAAGCCCTTTGTTGTCTGAATCCAGAGACCCAGGGGCTGATTCTGCACTTCCAGGCCCATTTGACCATTTGCAGGGCTAGAAGCCGCCAGGAGCCAAAGTGCCACTCTGCTTCCAATAGCGCCTTTATTTATAACCAATATTTACAATCAGTATTAAAAACACAACCCGCTTCTCCCAAAACAAATAAGCCATCCAAATCACCTCTTTGCTTTTTTCCCTCTGTTTTTTCAGGGTCAGAAAAATAAGAAGTATGGATCCGACGCAAAGTGAAAAAGAAGAAGAAGCAATAACATGTTCCTATGGAACATCCTGCCTCCCGAGGTCCGGTGTGCCCCCTCCCTCATGGCCTTCAGGAAAGGGGTTAAATCCTGGCTCTGCCAGAAGACCTGGGGGCCGGCGGGG